CGAGGTATCGGGTGAAATTCAACGTTTTTTGATATGCACGGCATTCGCTCTCAGCGGCTCCTCTCACTGAGAACATACAGCCTTCACGGTCCAATCTGCATTAAAGTGTTGGTGTTTACCTCAAAGTCGTTGGCCTTGTTGTAGTGCATGTTAAGGGCTCGGAAGAGCTCGCAGTCGCGGCTGACGCTCAACTCCTCAGTCCCAGTGACTCCGTCGTTGATGGACTGGCGGGCAAACTTCTCCATCTGGATGTAGTAGAACTCCCTGAAGTTGCTGAACCACTTGATCAGCTGCGAGGTTATGCAGCGATTAAACTGGAATGAGAGATGATGAGGAGTTAGCACTGTTTCAGAGGGGCGGGATTGTATAAAAGAAACAGACAAACATCACTCGAAATCCAAAGGAATTTAATTGCAAATCAGTGGGTTCTGTAAATATTCTTCATGCAAGCAGGGGGAAGCCTGTCATGTCTGAACCTTATTAAGCCACTGGATTTGAGTATGAGTGAAAAGAAGTGTGAGGATGACAGTTAACAGCGGGGTGGTGAGACGTGAGGTGATAACTGAGAGAGAGAGAAAAAAAGACGAGCGCAAGAAAGATCACAGGTCTTTGAGTGAGGGAGGATAATAGAGACATGAAGACAGCGAGCAAGGAGGGGGACGGAGAGAAGAGAGTGGGGAGAGAGTGTGTGTGTGTGTGTGTGTGTGTGAGAGTAAGGGTGTGTTTGTGTGTGTGTGTGTGGTTCATCTTCCCCACTGGGAGCAGACCTCCCCCCTATCATAACCCTGAGAGTAGAGAGAGGTGGAGAAGGGGGGGAGAGGGAGGGTGCGAGACCGCAAACACATAATTGACCAGAAAAACGATTAAGTCATCATCTGAAGCGCCCTGGCCCGCAGGGGGCTCAAACATGTACTTAACCCCGTTCACCAATTACACCCTGATTCTCCTCCCCTCTCTGCACCTCCCAGGCAGAAAGAAAGGAGAAGAAAAAGAAAAGAGAAAGACAGAGATGATAAGCATTGCGGGCAAAACTGTGGCTATCAGATCTGTGCCGCTTAGCTGGATTCAATAGGACGAGGTAAACCTATTAAGAGCCTCGGCTAGTTTCCGCCTCTGGTGTGTGAAAACACACTGTCTAAACATCCAGACCACTAGATAAGGACGTCAGGAGTTTGAGCTGCCTGGCCCAGCCACCCTGAAATGCCCCACTGAAAGGTCTGATCGGACCCTTAAAAACATACAAATAATACCTTCTTTCCAGTGACTCCCAGAAATAACGTCTCACTAATTCAAAATTCTAGCCTCTGAAATGCTTGATACCCTTAACCATCACCCACACCCTACACACACACAGGCCTTCACTCCTCCCCTCCCCTCTGCTCTTTTTGTGGTGCTGGAAGAATGGGGGGACAAAACGCTACTAAACGCTGAGCGGACTGCTCGCTGGGGAGGCAGAGCGGTTTTGACATGGAGATTAGGCTCTGGCTATTGTTCGACAACACACAGACACGCACAAACATGCACACGCACTCTCCGCGATCTGGGATGGCAGTCAAACACAGGCAGGCACATGAAGATGGGAGGGCGAGCTGCGACAGAACACAACGACAGGCAGAAGAGCTGGCGAATCAGAAGCCTCGAAAGAGTTGGACCAAGGTGGGACGGGGTGCTAAAGGAGAGCGCCGTGCCTTTCTGGAATGATCAGCAGATGACATAATGGCGGAGTGGAAAAGAATAAGTCCGCTTGACATTGTTTGGCAGGGGTTTGGGAGGGTGTATGTAGGGGGTGGGGGGGTGGGAGAGGAGGGGTAGCATGGTGGCTGTCGTAAAGTGCAGGGTGAGCATAAATGGGGAAATGAGGGGAGGGAGGGAGGGAGGGGGCAGGGAGGAGAGGAGGACGGGTGCAGGTCAGTGCTGTCGGACAATGGCATTTTGCTGGTGGGGGGGGGGCAGAGGGTCGGAACGTGAGCAGTCAGCAAGCTGGGGTCGTGACATCGGAGTGTCAAACAAACAAACTACTGACACTTACAAATACACCGGCTGCACAGGGCTATTCTTAAACACACACAATGTTGCAGACAGTCGGAGTGTGACAGAGCACAAAAACACTATTTCATTCAAGTTGTCAGCGCGGTATGAACCTTTCCTCGTGTGTAAGATCTGACCAAGTCTTACTGGGTGCAAATCTGAGACATGAGTGAATTGGTGTGTGAGCAAGTTTGCGTGCGCGCATCTGAGCGCGTGCGAGATCGAGCACTACATACTGAGATTAAAGTCAGTGAAAGAGTTACCATCGCTCATGCAGGAGACCTTTGGTGTCACTGCAGCCGAGTGACGGATAGATTTGTCACTTTGGACAAGGATTACTTTATTATACGGGCAGCTCAGGAGAAGATGTATTAGGGCCTGTGCAGCTGAACTGAACTGTGGCTCAATCACAGCACGAAGCACACAAAAGATACGATATTTACTGTACATGCAGGTAAATACACTAAATTATGTTATATCCGCATCAATTGCTCAATTTTGGCAAGTCCCCCTGCAGCTTCCAGCAGTCTTGGTTCATTAAGTTGCTGGTGGGGGACAGAGGACCCCTGATAGCGGTTAAGGACGAGTGTGTTCAGTGTAAAAGGAGGGAACTGGTTCAAAAGAGCACATCACTGCAGCTCCTTAATCAGAGCTGGCAGGGGTCAGCCAGCACCGACATGAGATGCAGTGAGGAAAATGTGTGTGTGTGTGTGTGTGTGTGTGTGTGTGTGTGTGTGCGTGTGTGTGTGTGTGTGTGTTTGAGTCGATGCACTGCGTTTGAGCATATAAGTGTATGTGTATGTGTCTGGCTGAGAGGCAGATGAGAGAGAGACAGCGAGAGCGTGTTTCTCACACTCACACTCAAGAGCCTGTGAAAGGTCAGCGCTTAGTGCTAACAGCACAAGATAGAAAGTGGCACACACACACACACGCACACACACACACGTATGTTATGCTCATGCACAGGCACATACTTAAGTCCAGAATAGGAAAACACTCAAGTATCCTTGGTCCAAACTATATTAGTCGCCTGCCAAAAGTATTCAGGCACTTTGACCGTCAGTCCCAAACGTCTGCACGAACGTCATCTAATTTATTAATACCTAGAATGAAATTTGGTTTTACAGTTCTGACTTTTGGTTTTAGAATGAAAACGTTTAGATGAAAAGCCAAAGTGTATCTCTGGCCAACACTTTCCCTGACATAATGGTCAACAATGGAGCAGAAAGCACACAGATGACCTCAGAGTGCTAAGCTACATCCAGAACAACCGGAGAGGAGAGCAGAAAGACACAGAAGCCTGTACGGGCCTCTCTCTCTCTCTTTCTCCCTCTCTCTCTCTCTCTCTCTCTCTCTCTCTCTCTCTCTCTCTCGTAAGCCCCTTCACAGTCATCAGGGCTTTCCAACGTTTCCTGTTTTCGCAGGGGTGAATTGTGGGAGATAATCTCCGGCTGCCTATTGGCTGACTGCACACAAAAAGCGGCCCTGGAAAGCGGGCTTTTGTTACTGCGGCGACTCAAATCCAGCGGCTGGCTTTTCTTTCTCCCCGGCCCCGCCGAGGCACACATGCCATGCCACACCATCAGCGAAAAAAAAGAAAAGAGAAGGAATGACATATAGAAAAGGGAAAACCCTCCTGACCTCCGCTACTCCACAGCACATGACTGGCCCAAATACTGAGGCTTGTCGCTAAAAGAGCCACAGAGAGACAGACAAAGAAAGCAAGGTGTGTGTTTGCTTTAAAATGAAAGGAAAATGTACATCTACAATACATCAAGGTCCAAACAGCCTATAATTAATTAATATACAGTACATCCACCACCCACTGTTTCTCTTTACACAGGCAATAAGTTTAGTTGACTTTATTAATTGACTGAATAGCTTTATTTAATCACTTAATTAATCTGTCATAATTTTTTAGCCTTTATCAAAACAGTATGTGCATTAATAATGAGACGTCTTACAGCTAGAGGGATGATGCTATAGGCTGTCATTAGCAGCACCAACAATGGTATTATGACACATCTGTCAAAACATTTCAAAAACATCAAAAGTCAAAAAAAGTCACAATAGTCTTAAAAGGAGCTTAATCAAGGGGAACAACAGCTACAGCGTGCCCGGGTTATTGGGGCAACCCACTTCCCACGTTCATTAGGTTCTTGACAGTCAAGACCTGATTAGTCAAGACCTGATTAGCCTTCAAGACTTATGTCTGAGGACACCCACTCGCTAAGAGGCCACGCTGGCTGAATCTAATTAGATAGTCAGTCTCATTCCCATACATGTCTACAAACTTTGAGCTTGAGTCCATTGTCCTCTGCTGAAAACAAAAACAAACCAATGTGAATAATCCCCTTAACTATCTTGACCTTGTTTAAGTATCTGATGGGGCCAGTGATGAAGAGGCCACCTCATCGGGGGTTGATTAGTCAGTGATTCAAATCTTAAATGGTAATTGTTGCTGCAGTTGTTCAATGGCATTAATAACAGCATTGTCAAATCAGTGGGATGCTTTAATATTGAGTATATTAAATTTTGAAACTTGAAATTTACAGGTGCCTACCGGCTTTGCCAACATGTACCCTCCTTTTCAACCTGACCAATGATGTGCAGAGAAAAAATCATGTGACCCACGAGTCATGGTTGGTGGCGACCACATCTATGAGGGGGCAGCTGGGAAAAAAGGGGGACCTTTATCTCCTGATTTGAATAAGATGGCCTGGATATGTCACAGTGTTTACCCCTCCGTATGGTCCGTGAGGGGCATGCACGCAAAACAACAACAACACGGACAAACTCGGTCGCGCACACTACAACGGCCATTGTGTTGTTGTGCTGTTTTTTTTGTGCAGCTTACATATTGTGCTTTGTTTTCCAAATTTCCTTCATTACACTCCCAGTTGTAATAACGGTGATCTTTAACCGTGTTCCCTAAACCGACTCTTTCTCTTCTCCCCTCCTTCTATCAAACCATCCTCCCTACACCTGCTCAGATAACCACTCCTCTGTCTCTAGGCTCACTCCTCCTCTCTGCCCTCTCCACCCCTCCATTACTCATCCCGCTCTTTATCTTTAGAATACTCATAGGCTCTCCAGCTCCCTCATGTAAACCCATTCAACTTCCTCTTCTTTCATCTTTTGCATAAAACCATAACTTAGTGAGAGAAAGGGCCTCATTTCAAGACAAGCATACTCTGTTCACGGCAACTGATGCTTGCACATCACAAATAATACATCAGACTTCCTCTTTCAAAGCAGGTGCGTTGGAAAATGTACAAGGAAAAAAGCTGTCGAAAGACAGAAAAAATATAACGTGTTATCCATGTTTACGCTCATTACACGGAGCAAATAAACAAAGATGAAGGAACAAGGAACGATTTTGAAAATAGTCAAGCAGGGACAGTGTGAACCAAAGTTAAAAGTAAAATATAAAAGGCAAAGGTAAACTAAAAGAAGGACTAAAAAGGATGAGCATGACTTACCTTGACATCAGAGAAGAACATCTTGAGCATATTAGAGCTTGGGTAGCGGGTGTAGAAAAACATGAGCTTGGCCTTCTTCAGATGATTAGGAGAGAGACCCTCTTGGATCTGAAAATAGCTGCTATTAAGGACATTAACAACTGTTTGGAGGGAAACAACTTATGGTGGATCAAGCAAATGTAGCTACTGATATTACCACCAAATACAATATGTGTGTGCTAAGAATTGGCAGTAAGATTGGCAAGAAATCATCTTTTGGATGGTGGGTAACCAAATTTCCTTTCAGGCATGAATGCAGGGGGGGTTGAAGACGGTGCACCAAAGCAAAACCATTTGCTTGCAATTAGCATCGTCCGTATCAGGTGTGAGTGCGTCACGGTAAATAAAAGAACGCTGGCCAGCACTACAGCCGATGCTTTTACATAAGGAGGCTCATTTCACAGTCAAAGTAAGTAAACGCCTTTGCCTACACCCCGTGCTAACCTCCACCCAAAAAAAGGAAGAAGAAAAAAGGAGACATTTGCATATCACAGACAAAGACAGCAGTTAACGCCAGTGACGGGCAAGAAGGCCTAATGGCTTGGCGACAACACATGCCAAGCCTGAATATGACTGTCTGATGCTGGCTTAATATCAGTGACAAAACAAGGTCTAGGAGATAGTCCCAAACACTGGCCCGAGCAACACGAAAAACCTTCTCACCCTCACATAGGCCATATTCAAATACATGTCAGAGGCCTTGTCTTCCTAATGGATCGCCTGGATTGAACAGCAGAGAGGATGGAGATGGGCTGGTGGGGGCACCTTGAGGGATAGTATGGTTCCAACCTTCAATTACATCCCCCTCCTCCTCCCTCTGCTCCACCCCTACCCCCCAGCCTCTCTGCCGCTGCCAAACCCTTGGAGGAGCAAAAGAAGGAGGAGGAGAAGGAGGAAGAGGGGCTCTGAGGGTTTGGACACAGCCAGTGATGGGGGGACTGAAACACATCTGCGCCACCGAACGGCCCAAGCCATTTCCATGGTGAATTAACGGCCGTATAATGCATCTGATAATATCAATCTGGAGGATAAGACATTGAAAAGGGAACGGGGATGGGGGCGGGCTGCATGTTAAAACCTCGGGCCGTTTCAACAAGGGTTTTCATCAAGCAGACGCAAGATAGGGCTTTAAATTACACAGAAGATACAAGTTTTCATGAAGACTGTTTACACTCGAGTGGACAAAATACATTGCTTGACATTATTTATGATCTACAGGGGTGGCTGTGATCGTTAAAATCAGTCAAGTGTCCAGATGTAGCTGTAACTATAGAGTGGGAAGAAGGCATCAGCTGCTAGATTGGATTGCCCTTGGCCTCAGGGTTATACAGCAAAGCCAGCAAATGCTGAACCACACTGGGTTGGCTCCTTAAAGACCCTGTCTACTTTGTCTGATTCAGTGAGAGAGAGGGAGGGAGAGAGAGAGAGAGTTAGTTGTATACGCAGCGAGGGTCTTGTGGGGGAAACCCTGGCAGACTGGTGTTACTCTGTCAGGCCTGGCCAAAAGAGCAGCACTTCACTCTCCACACCACACCATCTGCTCCAAGTGGAGGGGATACAATGGATCCTCAGACAGAGAGAGGGAGAGGGAGATACAGAGAAAAAGAGAGCTCTTTTTCAGTAAGGCAAGGTGGGATTTATTTGCTGTGAAAGCTGTGCACTTACACTTAGATTAATTTGTTTTTGCTTTTTCAATTAGGATTAGCATCGCTTTCCCCTTATCACTGAAATTAAAAATTATTTTAAAACAAAGACGTCAAGGTTTTACCTCTCCAGCCATAAACACAATATCACCTCCCTTCAGACGACAATTAAGAAGCTTCATATCTCCTGATGAGGCATTTTCATCTCCAATTCACTCACAGCTTGCAAATGTAATTGTGATTGGACTTAGGGGTGGCGTGCAAGGCTATTATTTTGTCATGATGGTGCACTCATACCAGCTGGCCCACTGTTCGCCTGCCACATCTGACAAGACATCATCATTCTCAGAACACTTCCCCAAAGCCCAAAGTCATGAGAGGAAAATAGCTGCTCCACTTCCTAATTCCAGGTGTAAGGACAAGAATATTTGGAGTCGGACTGAGAACAAATGAGGAAATTGATAGCAGCCATCTGCTCCATAACGCTGCAGAGAGCTGGTGAACTTGAACACACCTCGCAAAATGTCTGACAAGCTGTCTCTGCCTTCTGAGGCTCCGAAAAAAAAGAGAAAGCTACAGAGATATCAAACAATTCTACATCAGTGGCACTAGCAATATGAGTACAAATGCAAATACACAGATTCATAAATGTCATACAAATTATAATAAAAAGCTATATCTTGTAAATGCCAAACTTTGTTACTAAACCTGTGGAATAAGCTCAGGGAATCAAAAATAAAACAACACATGTGGACATGTTGTTCTGCCTTTTCTTTTCATTTAGGGGAGTACATCTGTTAATGCCCTGAATTTATAAATGCTACAATGAAAGCCACAGCATCTGGCATATGTGGTTATTGTTTGATTGTTTTCTACTTTCTCTCAGTCTCTGTATTTCTCTCTCTCCCTTTTCTCTTTTCATCCCTCCATCGGGAGCCCGTAGAAGCAAAGGATTATGGATCTCTGGAAAGCGTTCACCCTTGGGTCAGAAGACAAGACAAGGCGAGGTAATGAAAGATAAACAGCTCGCTGCAAACACCTGTTAACGTCCGCTTCAAAGAAAAGACAGGGAGGAGGGGGGTTTGCAGGGAGGGAAAACAAAAAAAGAAGTATTTGGCTGCCAAGCAACAGCCGAAGGGCCCCCCGGGCTGTTGACAGATCTTTATGAAATGAAAAAAAGAGAAAAGAAACGACAATGATTGTGGGCTTTTTACAACGGCGATGGATGATAAGAGGAACACAAGAGAAAACACAAGCAATCATAAATATACATCTTTACTGAGTCCTCAGGCGAACCTTTTGTGACATGCACACACACAAAAAGACACACACTGGAAAAAGGCTAGGCACTCAGGTACACACAAGAGCAAAAACAAGACATCCAAGGTGTTAAATATACATATTCACTTAACTAATAAAGCTCCAACAGGTAAAAAGCTGTTGGATTAATTTCTTAAGCATGTAATGAATGTTAATGACTTGAGGACAATGCTTTCTATGGACAACCAGTGTGACACGAATCAAACTTTCATAAGGGTTAAGGGGTGTTGAATACTTAGGGACTAAGGAGGTATAGGGGAAACAGAGAAGGGACTGAATGTATCTGTTTAAGCTATTAGTCCTGAGTCCCCGGGGGATTCAATTTGAGCCTCCCATAGGGGATAGCCTCTTTATCCGTAGGGCATGATTGGGGCACACTGGGGTTAAACTATAAGGGAGGCTATATAACACCATTGTGTGCCAAGTTTCGGGATGCTATCTCGCTCCTTGTTCTTTCAGGCCATTTTTTTATAAAAGGAATTAGGGCAGTAAATGTCATGGGGACCTAATCTTTGTGAGTAAGTGATATGTGACAAGAAAGCTTTTAAAGCACTTAGGATTGAAGATGGAAGAAAAGGCTGTACGGTGCTTTGAGAAGGAAGAGGTATGAGTATAAAAATAAATGCAACAGTGCAGTACAATGGAGAAGAGAACAGCAGTGGGAGGAAAAGTGATTCATCAACAATTTCTCTGATTCTTAGGCTAGTTTCAAACACACTAAAAAAGATTTGATTTTTAACTCTTTGTGGTTCAGTTGCAGTGTTTCGCACCTGTCTCTACAGGGAACCACCTGAAATCAGATTTTTCCTGCTTTACACAGGCATGATCTGGTCTAAACTGGACAATGGGGTCACTGTCATACACATTCACTTATTATTGCCTTTCAACCCCTTCAAAACACACTCTCACACACACCACTCAGATTTTGTTTAAGGATACATTGCTGCCTGAGTAGGGTGAGATGTCAGCCATGTCCTGTAGATCACCGCACTCAGACTTGATGAGGGACAGGGAGAGTCCCTCGGCTGTGCTGCCAGGGTGCGCAGGGGAGCAGGAGCGATGGTGGTGCCCCAGGTGGTGACCTGATGCCATCTTGGTCCTCAGGCTGGTGGTTTCCCGGGACAGGTCCATGGAGTCTGGTGAGGAACGGTCCTTTCCTGGGTAGCCACCTGTGGGCCCACCAAGGGGACTCTGGAAAGCGTAGCTCATAAGAGGCAGTGGAAAGGGGTGTCTAAAGGATGGTGGGCTGAAGCCCATGGAGGCAGAGAGCGAGGAGGGGTGAAGGGCGGGGTGGTGGTGCCCGCCATGGGCACCCACAGCTGAGGACTGGTGGTGGTGCTCACTGGGTGTCTTCCTCACGACTAAGGGCAGGGCCTCAGTTTGGTCATTGGTGGAACCTGGCATCCCGGGCATGCTGGCAAAGGAGTCTAGTGGGTTGGGAATGATGACATCACCGAAGCACTGCAGCCTCTGATTGGCGGTGTGGAAGTTGGGGTTGTCTCCATTGACAACGGTGGGAAACCTTTCAGGAGGTATGGAAAGTGGGGGGAAGGCCTGCTGGGGTGTAGGACGTGGAGGCTTGGCAAACACCTTAACCACTGTGTCCACCACCTGGGTCATGGCTGAATTGAGTTCCTGCTTCAGTGTTTCTGCCAGCTGTTTACCTTCAGCATGCATGGAGGAGCCTGGACCTCCCTGTGCTTTGCTCCGCCCAAGCCCCTCTCTTCTTGGCTTCTCTCTGTCTGCCAGCAGGGCCTGCTCCTGAAGCAATGCCCGTGCCCTGTCCAGGAAATGGCCTGGGTCCAGGTCAGACATCTCATTGTCAGAGCGCAGGTCATCTCCACCCCGGTCATCGCCACCGGTATCAGACCTAGTTGGGCTGTCCTCAGACATGTTTCCTATGTCATTGTGGAGTTCATTGTGGAGGTCATTGTGTTCTGAGTCATCGGTTGAGTCATAGATCTGAAAGAACTTCTCCTGCAGCTGGCGTAACTGTTTCTGCATGTCCTCCAGCTGTAGCTTCAGTTGCCGTCGCTCCTCCTGCTTCTGTTCTTTCCTCTGGCACACCAGCTGGGTGAAGCTCTGCTGTTGCTGCTGAGGCAGACGCTGCTTACGCTTGTTCTCTCGGCTGCTACTGCTGCACACCTCGCCTCCCCGTGGGCTGCTGGGGGCCTGCTGCTGAGACTGAGGGGGTGGGCAGTCTAGTTCCATCTCCCTTTCTCCATCCATCTCATGGTCACGCTCATGGCGAGAAGCAGCAGGTACCACCACACTGGGTGAGTGGCTCATACCACGTATAATGTTCTCTACACGGGCTCGCTTGGCACGCAGGTGTTCATCATTGAGGCGTTCGATGTCAAAGGTGGCGAGGCCAGGAGGACGACCAAACGGTGACAAGCACTCTTGGGGGGTGCTGTCCTGGGAGGAGTTACTGCAGGCATCCTCTTGGGGAGCATCTGAACTTGCATTGGAGAGCCCTGATCCAGGGAAGCCGGCATCCCCTCTATCACCCCTGTCCCCTCTTTCTCCCCTCTCGGGTCCTCCTCCATTTTTAGCCATGTTATTCTTGAGAAGCTGGGAGATAATGGTGGTGCCAGGGAAGGGCATCATGGTGTCCTCGTATGAGTTGGCCCTCTTCAGTAGCTTTCGGAGTACATTGGACTTGGACTCACTGTCACTGGCTGATACAACGCCAGGCCCACCATGTGGCTGCACTACAGAGCACTCCATGGAGTCGGTGTCTGATCCGTGGTGAGAGTGGGAGCTCAGAGAGTTCATGGCACTGAAAATGGCTGCTTTGGCGCGGGCAATGTTATCAGTGGTTGCTGTTGTGGCTGCTGCTGTGGAGGAGGCTGTGCTGCCCACGGTCCTCTTAACACCAATGTCCACACGTCTTCGCTTGGTCTGTCTGTTCAGGAGGGAGTCGCTGTCATGGTCCGGCATCACGGGCTGCTGCTATTGGGCCATATCCCACAAACCCAGTCCTCTAGGATCAAAGCCTCTGGGTACCTGCGGAGAAAAATTCACAGTACATGACTCACCAAAGGGAAAAATATTTTCAGAATCTAAGTCACTCACTCAGCAGGACATGTCCTAGAGCACTTCAATTTCAAAACAAAATCTACATTGAACAGAAAAGCTAGAAACATTTTGATCAATCAAAATCTATCAACATTATGGATATGAACTGAAGCGTTTTGTCTCAAGCCAGTAGGCAGTTCCTCCTAATATGTTTCGACACGGACAGGGACATCCATGGTTACATTTAGAAGGCGAGGATCAGTGACAGAGGGGTAAAGGAATCAGGCAAGATGGGGTCAGAATTAGGCCTTGGCTCGACATTCCAGGGCAAAGTCCTACATTTTATCCTGTCCCTTGTTACACGCTGCGCGACACTGAACCAGTTCCCACGGAACACAAAGCTGCATAAAATTATGATAATTACTTAAGTACTTGTCCTCATTTGCATTTTTGTGCACCGTGAGCCAACATAGGAGCTATTAACTCACAAAATAAAATAAAAAGAAATAGGGTTAAGAGTAAAAAAATGTGGTGTATAAGGGGAGGCAATACACATGTCTTAATATATACTTTCCTGAATTCTATTTAGTAAGTGTGCTATCGTTTGGTCGGTTCAACAAAATATTCTCACTTTAAACACATTGCGTAATTTTAAAATGCAAGTCCTGTGTCCACATTAATCAATATGGTCATCATATCTTAAGCAACGGGGATAGTGACACAAAAAGAACACAAAATAGGCCTATTGATTTTGGTGCCAGCGTGAGCTCACTTCTGTGTTTTTTGTTTGTCTTTTCATCTGGCAAGGGTAGTTAATTCTGCTCAAATGAATAGGTCACAAGGGTCAACTCTGGCAAGGAGCAACTTAAAGCGCTCTTACAAAAACCCTAATGCCCCTCTGAAAGCAAAACGTTTTGTCAGTACAGGCCTGCATCAATAATGCTATGTAAGCAGCAGTGGCAGTGTCTTAGAGCAACATCAGATACATCCAATCTCAAATGTAGTTATATTATCACAGACAAATTAATTTGTATGCCTCTCTTTTTTCAATTTTTTTTAATATATCTGACGTTAGTAAATTTATACATTTGATGTTTTCTTTGCAGCATAAAAGCGGCAAAAGTGATGCAACAATTTACATTTTTCTTTTTACACCAGCCTTTATTGAGACTCACAGTGGCTCATTAAAATATAATAAAATATAACAAATACGGTATTCTTTCCTTGAGTTGAATTTTCAGGTTGTAAATATACTCTAACTGATTTAGGTAGACTTTAGGGTAAATCTGCAACATTCTTTAATCCTAAATACAAAAATGTCAAAAGACTGAGTCAAATCTAGGCTATGTTTAATTTTGCTATAATATTCTAAGACAAAAGCCACTCAGAGACATCTAATTTGAGGCTCAGTTTCAGTGGTAAGTGGTGGTGAACAGCTGGAAAAACTGAAGTCCATGTCAGATTTAAAAACATTTTCTTTAACTGAGTATTTGCTTGCTTTAACTAAAAGAAATTGAATCATCTTTACATTATCACAGCATGTGAAAAGTATTTTTCTTTTGAAAAGAAAAGCTTCTCTCTCGTCACTTAACACAAACACACACACACACACACACACACACACACACACACACACACACCGGCGCGCACACACAACTTTGTTGTTGGCTTTGTTAGTCATGTCTGATGCGCAGCACAAGTGACGTGCATTAGAAGGTTTTTCACTCTTAAAAAAACATTTTGTAAATTGACAATGTATAAACTCACAAGATAAAACTGCAAACATCCAAATTTGCTGGAATAACAGGTGAATGTTCCCCCTAAAACCGTCCTATTGAAGTAACACCAGTATTCTAAAATACGACCCTTTGATAAATGGCTTTGGCCCAACTCTTGACAGTCATCTCCAGCAGTTCAGACAAGAGGTGATACATCTCCAAGAAAGAAAAACTGGACTTGATCGCCTCAGGATCTTAACAATGAGCTTGAAATAGTCACCAGCACCTGTCTTTTCCGACGGCGCACCTGTCTCCCATTGCCCATGCGCACTCTCTCTCTCTCTCATAAAAAAACCTTTCAACAATTTCAAGCTATGAACTACACATATTAACAACAAGCTGCGAATGTTCACTCCAACTTTTATAGATCTTCACCCCGTGGTTTTAACCTCCTCACTGGAACATGTATATAGTTTAATGGGGTTTAATCCCCAAAACAAAACCTTTGGGCTGACATGGAACAAAAGTACAAAATAATGAGTGATGTTCGGGTTGGAAACTTGGTCTAAATTAAAATAATGCACAGTTGCTGTAACTTTTAGGAGTTAAAGTCCAATGAAAATCACGCAATAAGATGGTGAAAGTGTTCACCATCTGTTTTTTTTTGTTGTTTGTTTGTCAAATGATGGTCAGTGAACAGACTAAGATATCAAAACCTATGCGAGACACAGTTGCCGAAACTTCATCAATACACCGGCAGCATTTTCACACAATAGTCCAAAAGTGCTGCCGCAGAAGACAGACACCAAATTCACTAAACAACAGAACTGACAAGCTCCGCGACTGCCCGGATAGAGATTTTGTGCCAATAAAAAAAGGGGGCACGTATGAGGTGTTAAAATAAGCCCACAGGACAAAGACAATACGAGGTAAAAGCAAATTCACGGTTTTCAAACGAAGAGATCTAACACAGGTAAATCTCAGTTTCCGTCTAAAATCAACATTTACATCACGTCCCACGTTGCAAAAAAACAAAAAACAAACAAAAAAACACGCTTCCAAAACTTACTTCGCAAAGTTGCAAATCAACTTGATCACCGCTTTGATGAGGAAGGTTGGGCTACGGTCCGCAAATCATCCTCGCAAAAAAAACACGGGCTGCTCACGCAACTCTTACCACACATCAAGATGAGGGGAACGAAACAGAGCAAATAATGTCCAATAGCCTAGATATGATTAGCTGTTGATCAGCAGAATAAATTTCCCCCGTTAATGATGTTTGATTTGTTTATTTTTTCCGCCCACCGTGCGCAGGCGAGGCAGAACAAGAACGAGAGAGAGAGGGAGGTATCCGAGGACAAGGTTACTTACCCTTTAGATGAAGAGGGGGACAACCTGAACTCCTACGGCGAAAAAAAAAAAGAGAGAATATACGCAGAGCACGGCGGATTTGCTGGATGCTGGGATATAACAATTTCTCAGAGAAGGAAGAGCTGGAATAAAGTCGGCGACGCGAGCGAAAGGAACAAAATAGGAAAAATATAGTAGATGAAAAGAGCTCTTGTGCGTCGGTCTCTCCCTCTATCCTCTGCTGTGACTAAAAGAGTGAGAGACATAGAGAGAGTGCAAAGAGAGAGAGAGAGAGAGAGAGAGAGACTGCGTGTGTGCGTCTCCGAGGCGCACTGGATGCAGAGGACTGGATGCTGGAGCGCTCCTCCGCCACTAAAGATTCACTTTAAGACGCGGCTGAAGGAAACAGGAAGACGTGCGCGTCATGAGCGGCGTGATGTAACTGTCGCAACCTACCAATAAGAAGCGTCCGTCCGGTCCGGAGAACAACGCACTGAACTTGACCAGAGAATGGGACTTGAGCATGCAACTAAAGAGAGAGAGAGGAGAAAAAAAAAGGAAATACCACTCTTACTAATCTCTTTCTTCCCAAATCACCGACAGCGCGAGTAAGAATCGTTACGCACTTTGACATTACATAGGCCTATAAGCCGCAATAAAACACATAGTCTACATCTTATTATGTTGTTTATACTCATGTTCTCTCTTAAATGGACAAGTTTCTATAATTAGTGTTTATTTGTCTTGATTACATTTCGAATAAAGTGTCAAAATCAGAATAAGAACAATTTCACGATAATAGCTGCTAAGAAAAAAAAGCCTAAAAGAACTTGACTTGTTTGGCAACTGGTGAGGTTGTCTATCCCTGCTGCAGTTTTATTAAATAGGCTACATTTAGACAAACGCATGTTTTAAGATGAATGCAACATTAGATGAATTGTTGAGGCAGGTAGATTTGTACCGTTTAAATACAAATGTTTTCAGACACCTTCCAGTCTTCCTTTGTGGCAGTAATATTCTAAATTAACAGTCTGTTTTACAACCCAAACCACTTTTTTTCAACTACTGTGTTAATGCATGTTTCGATTATGTTTATGGGAGTGTATTAAACGCATTAATATCCCTTCAAGCCCAGTCATTTTTAATGATTACCAACTTTGCAATTTGATCTCTATGTCTGAATGACGTTTATATTTTAAAACATTACCATATTCATTTTTTTCCCCTGCAAAGACAACTGGTGCATATTTAGGCTACAGCTCCTCTAAGGGAATAACAGTAGTGGGTCACTTGGGTATTGGAGGTTCAGAGTGGCATGTAGATATTTTACGTGTAGAGTTTTCTTATTGGTTGCAGCAAAATCTGATTTATGAACAAGCAAAGCAGCACAGAGGCTCCGAGGTTTGCTTTGGAATTCAGATTATCCAGGGAAGCCAATATCCGAGGAGAGCTAAACGTCTCTTTGTGAAATGCTCAGTTAAGAGCCGAATATCATCATGAAACGTCTGTCACTCGGATCCACAGCCTGCCACTGAAATATCCCCCTGTGCGCAAAGATTGCACCGTCATCAGAAACGATTATTAAGTAAAAACCCATGGTAAATGAAAACAAAAATCCACCTTCATGTTTGAAAATCTAATCATTTTCAATGATTTGTTTGAATTTTTTTTTTTCTCCCTTTGAAACTTCCCCACCTGTAAGGCTGAACCCTGCGGACAGTGACATCTGATCCTTTCCACGGAAAAACCCGTCTGACGCTTCTGACTTATGAAACGATGATCCTGCCGCATTCTTACAAATTGAATAATTACACTGCAGGTTTTTTTCTGGCGCTCTGAAAGCATTTTAGCCTTCGACCTTTACAACAGGTGTATGGACAAATTGTTTAGTCATATTATTTCGGAAATAATTGTTTTTTGCGCAATTGAAATTAATCTTTAGGAGATAATATTTTCATGAACTCTTAACGATATTTCTGGATAATACAGGTCACATCCATCTGGCTCAGCCTTGCGTTTTCTGCAATTAGAGACAACGCGAGCTTTGTAATAAGCAAATTACCTATAAATTCATCCCGTAAACGAAAGTATAAAATATGTATTATTATCATTATTATTATCGTTGTTGTTTTTAGTGAATCAAGTTCGTATACCCGTCAATTTAAAGCCAGTAAAGAAAAAGTCATTAATGCACTATTCTAATCAGATCAGCGTGCCTTTGCCCCCTTTTCCCTCTGCTTTTCACTTTGGATTCATTTGTTGCACGCAGAATCTTCTTTTTTTATCCTCTGCACAAACAGGATCCTAAAGTACTTAACGATAAATCTTATTTTCCATATGCTCCTCTGTCAGGTGCCAAAAAGGAAAAGGCGAGTCTCTTTTCCATGTCGCAAGCAAGTGTTTTTTAGGACGAACGAATTGCAACGAAGTCAGCAAAGTTTAGTGTCTGGAGTGTCTTTTCCAAAGCAGGTGTCCCGGCCCCCTGCTCCCCCTCACTGGCCTGTGGCTGATTTGGCCTCGGCTCCCCTGGGTGCCGTCGGTGCGCACACAGGCTGGAAAAACAGGCCGGGACATTAAAGAAACGCGTGTTTGGAAAAGGAAGACTCGGATGAGGTGTAGAGGAAACGTGTCGGTTAACACTGGCTGCTCTTATCGCGGCCCATTCCAGGTGGATCAACCCGTGTATTTATTTCAAACTCACTTTCCCCCCTCTTTTGGGTCGAGTGCGACACACCTCGATGCCCAAGACTGATAATGCGATCTGGCATTGCGCACTAATGGCTGAATTTATTGACATATTTATTAGAGTTGGGCCCAAAAGCAGAAGGAGGGAGGCAGTGAAAAGAATATTTCTCCCTGAGGTGTTATAAAGGTACTTTTTAAATTTTTTTTTTTATCACATTCTGACCACAATTAAGTGATAATAAGTGCGCACACGCGGTGATGGTATGCCGGAGTGCAGAAGGGCCAGTGGCCTATTTTTCCTCAGTATTTATTTGGATCAACGACGGGTCAACTGTCTTTCTGTTTTTATTAATATGATTATTATTGATATTATTATTATTATTACAGGGTTCTTTGTCTTTCGTCTCATTTTTGTAGCGAATTGAACGCAAAAAAATCAACAAAAGTAACCAAAGGGAGGTTTCCTGGATTTAAGTTTACGCGCATTATTGTTGAAAGAATGAATATTATTCGGGAGAAGAAGCAATCTCTTGAGCAGCACCGCTTATAAAATGGCATTAATCAGATAATGACTTGATGAGCTCCTACAACAGCTCCATTTCTTTTCACAGACAGTTTTTTTTTAGAGAAATAAGAGAGAGAGAGAGAGAGGGAGAGAGAGAGGGAGAGAGCGCTATTTGCGAAAACACAAGCAGAGAGAGAGATGGTAGCGCTAAAAGCTGTTTTGTTCCGGAGAGGTCTCCGGGTCCCTGAATAAAAAGGTTTAGGAGACAGGACAGAGGAGAGGAGAGGAGGATACAGGATTTGTCCGAGTGTAATAAGTGAGTAGGCGTCTGACTCTCAGAGCCTCTACAGTCCTCTTTGGGCCTCGTGTCCAGCACTTAATGTATTCAGCTTTCACCATCAAAGATGAGGATGCTGGAGGAAAATATCTATAACACTTGTTTCTGCTGTGAAGGCAAAAACCCATTTCGAAAAAAAAAATAGAGTCTTTATGACCTGAACAATATAAGATACAATGACAGAAATTTACATAGATGTTATTATTAGTGATATTAGTTCTTGGCTGTTATAGCTGGCACAGTGTGGCCCCCGTTGACCCACATCCCTCTTTCTAGGCTACAAGTAGTGGTGATTATGGACCCGAGTGTGTCTGTGTGTGTGTGTGTGTGTGTGTGTGTGTGTGTGTGTGTGTGTGTGTGTGTGTGTGTGTGTGTGAGAGAGAGAGAGAGACAGAGAGGGGGGGAGAGAGAGAGAGAGAGAGAGAGAGAGAGGTTGGTCATCCTCTGCTGTGGCCTGTTCTAGGCAAGCCATTCAATGAGACATATTATACACACACACACACTCTCACTCAAATATGCTTTATTTGCATGAATGGGTATTGACCATTGTTGCAGAAGCAAATGTATGACACAATGTAAAGTCAACGTGACAGTGAAAACATACACAAACCAAACAGAGTAACCTAATGACGAATAATCAATCACAATAATATGCGTAATGAAAAACAATGTACATAAGCATGTCTGTACTCTTGCATATGAGAATTTGCATGTATACACACATTCTCTCTAGACCATCTCATTTCCTCACAGACTCAAACACACATACACAGGGCCCTCAGTCTGAATGTTAAAATACAGTATTTTATATAGTATATGTTCTAGATATATATGAAAAAATCCTGTTGTCAACATGTGATAAAAAACCTGTTTGCTCTAACATTAAATAAGGCTCCATGTCTGGCCTGCACTGGACATAATAGGCAATTAAAAGAATGCTGCTCAGTGAGGCTGATGGGAATATGGCTGCAGTCAAACTCATTAAAACCACAGATATATATCTAAACATCATAATTAGTCTTAACCATGTGTAAAAACCCTCGACATTCTGAAATTTCTTTAGCAGAAAAATAAGCCAGCAAATTCTGCCAAGTCTGAATTCATTCACTATGTCTTACGAACAACCTTGAAAGTGTACAAAATTTTAAAATCACTGCCTATGAAAGGGGTTAGGCTAAAGTCAACAGGAATGAAGGGCGCGCGCGCACGTTTCGGCACGCGCACAGACACACACTGAGCGCCTTGGAGGTGCTTGGGCGGACAGACATGCTGGGAAATCGCCTGGAACTGTATTAAGCCTGACGTCCTTAAAACAAACAATGGCACCATGAAATAAGGGCTTATGCGCTCAAAGTCAAAGAGCCCCTTCAGCAACTCTCCCTGTTTATCTCTCCCTCTGTCTGCACACACACACACACACACACACACACACACACACACACACACACACACACTCACCATTTCTTGGGGGTTACACAGTCAGGCTGGCAGCTCCATTGGGAGGGGACCAACTTTTGCTCCTATGAACTCTCACCTGTCAACATGGAGCAGAGGACTTTACTTGGTAAACACGAAAGGACTTTAGCTGTTTACTTCTGGCGGTAACTTAGCCTATTTTATCCACTGCAAGGTTGCGGTCACAGCTGGTTCTGCGTGTGTTTTGAGTGCGTTTTCAAGGCGAGGTTATATGCACGCCAGACTCCGTTCAATAATGTTACAATTTTAATGCGACTGTTCTTGGGCTGCATATTTTGTTAAATATAACTTGAGTTGTTTTTGGACAGTGTGTTCTCCATCGGTAGCCTACATCCGGCATGCATCCAAGTGAGCTAGATTGGATCAATTTGACATGTGGATCAATTTTAGATTTTG